CAATTTCAGAAAGGTAGGTTAAAAAGTTTTAAAAAACAGGACTTGCAAACAAACCCAATTTAGGCTCATACTATGTAATTCTGGGCATATTTGCCTGGGTTATCTTTAGATGTCTCACCCGAAAATGGGATAACATCTAGCAAAGTATCCCACACATAAAGCCACTTTCCCTTTCCCTCCGTAAGGCAAAGCAAAAAGTGTATACAAACATGGTCCTCAATGTTTATTGAATGAAAGAAGTTTCCTACCACTGATTTATAACATGCTTCCTGACCCAATTCCAAAAATGGTAAGTCAAGGTTTCGCAATGGAAAAGCAGACTGACATGGTCAATGAACCTATAGTTTATTACACAATGTACTGGTCTGGTACTAAATAGTGCCCAAAGAGGAGGTAAGTTCCACTGTTTATATCTTTGAAATGGAGACTGACTTCACACCTCCAATATAAAGATTTGAATTTGTAGTGTGCCAATAATGGCCTACCAAAACTCACTGAACAGACTTAAAAATTTATCCATTTTCTCTTTCCCCTAAACTGCTTAAGGCTGTAGCAGGCAGAATAATGATGCCCCAAAGATACCCATGTCCTAATTCTGGGAAGCTGTGAATATGTTAATATATACAGCAAAAGAGAAGTATGTTTGCAGATGGAATTAAGATTGCTAATCAGTTGACCTTAAAATAGGAAGATTATTCTGGATTATCACAGCCTAAGGTAGTCTCAGGACCCTTAAAATCTGGAAGAGGGAACAAAGTCAGAGAAGGATATGTGACAAATGGTGGAAGCAAGGTCAGAGTGATGTGATTGATGTGATGTGATGTGATGTGATGTGATGTGAAGTGCTGTGGGAGCCTGACGCCCTTGGTGGCTTTGAAAAGAAGGAGGCCGTGATCCAACAAATACAGACAGCTTCTAGAAGCTGGAAAAGCCAAGAAACAGATTCTCCCCTACAGCCTCCAGAAATATAGCTTTGTCAACACCTGAATTTTAGACCAGTTGGACCTATAGCAGACTTTTAACCTACAGAATCATAAAACAGTAAATTTGTTTTATGTCACCAAACTTGTAATTTGTTACAGCAATAAAAGAAAACTAATACAACTGCCTTTTTTTTTTTTAATTTTGAGAAGTCCGTTAGAGTCTTTAAGGCAAAATGTAGATACCCTGGGGCATTGCAAAATCAGGTTTAAAAATCTCTAATGGAATGAGAGAAACATTTAAACATTTGAATGTTTCATTCAAAACTTGGAATTTAGAAAAAACAATGCTACCACAGAAGTTTCAACTTCTAGTATAGCTGATGGAGTAGATACTATCCATCTAAATCACTTATGTTATTTTAAAATCTGGAAAAAATATTTTAATAAATAAAAGAACAAAAAGCTTTCTGAAGGCATTAGAGAAAAACCAAATGCACGCAGGCACAGGAGGGGTGCCTATACTTAGAAGAAGCCAAAGAAGTATTTTGGAGGTTTTCTTCCCTTACATCTTTTAGCCTGAAGGCAGGCCCCAGTCAATCGGGTGCTGGGCAACTAAAACCCTAACAGAAAACCTGCAACCTTAATGGCTTGAAGAACCACAGGTGAGTTTGGGACAACTGCACACATGGGAAAGTGGGAAATCCCAGAAAAGGAAGAGCAAGAGAGTAGAAGCCCCAAATTCTGTGGATGACCCCAAACCATGCATGCACATGAGGCAAACTCCAAGCAGTTCTGCTAAAAGAACTGAACCAATATTTCAGTTGCTTCCCACAAGGGAGTTGGGTAGCAGTTTGAGTTCAGTTATGTTAACTGCCTACAACTCCTTGGAAGAACTAACAAAATCTAAAACTTCTAAAACATACCATTCACAACATCCAGGATATAACCCAAAATTACTCAACATACAAAACAAAATAAACAAAAACAACCCATTTCCAAGAAAAAGGACAATCAACAGAGATTACCAAACAATTTCAAAGCTGCTACAACCACACTTAAGGTCATATTAAGATATGACTTAAGGTCCTATCTTAAAGAAAAAATCATCAATGACTGAAATGATAAAGAGAAACTATAAAAATGAAACATAAAAATTCTAAAACTGAAAACACAATCCTTGAAAATGCCACCACAACCCTCTCATCCCTGCTAAACTAAGTAGTGGCTTAGAAGAGAGGAGGTAGCTGCACAGTGATGCCAACATTATAAAGTCAATGGCAGTTACTAAAGGAAAGAAGAAAGTCTCTTCTGACTACTGATCCATAATTCATAACTTTTAGGTAATTCTTGACAATCACTCAATAAGGTATTACAGCACTTTACAGAAAGAAAAATGAGGGTCAAAGAGATTAAGAAATATGCTCAAGGTCACACAATTAGTTTTTTCCAAACACTTCTAGATACAGTACTAAGTTCTTGATAATTTTTAAGCTACGATGAGCTCAAAAGCCTGTGGCTGAAGAAAATAACAGCTAGCTAATAAAGCAAAAATTGTAAGACAATAAGCAATTTCTTTGAAAATGTAAATGGTTTCTTTAAAGTTTTCTCCTTTAGGAAAGCAATTTTATTAGGGACCTCTTTATTCACTTTTCCTGTGTTTTCCTAGGTCATCTGACACCCCACTATTTGTAAAAGTAGAGGAAGGGTCTAATTATGTAAGTTACAGAACATATAATGGAATGCTGTGCAGCAGCATTAAAAATGACAGTATAGAAATGTTTACTGATGAGGAAAGCTGATCGAAATGTACTATGGGGAAAAAAAGGCTACAAAACAGTGAAAAAATATCATCTGATTTTTAAAAATTTTGTGAGGTCTGTTAATTGCACTTCAAAATGTTAAACATGTTGGTAATTTCCAAATTGATGAGACAATGGGTGATTTTCATTTTTTGAGTTTATTTTATTTGTTGTTCTTAATGTTATGTTTTTCCTACAATATATTATTTGTGTAAAAGCTTGTAAATCACACCATCATGCTGTATACCTTAAAATTCTATAGTGATGTCAATTATTTCTCAATAAAATTGAAAGTAAAAAAATTAAACATATTCATCAACTCAACAAATACTTATTGGGTATATATTATATACCAGGTAATGATTGTTAAAAAAAAAGAGAGAAAGTTGCAGAAACTTGATAAAAATGTTCTTCTACTAACTGAGGTTATTGTTCTTTTTCACTGTTAACATTACTTTTCAATTTATACCCTTTAACCTCCTTCCTCAAAAACAGAAGAAACTAAAATCTATTTATACTCTAATTTTACCCTTTCTACTAGTAAACAAGGCCTGATCCTCATATGCCCTCACCTGTGGCTCTGCAAGAGCCTCTAATCTATTTAGTCTTCCTGCCTCTGGCTCCCATCAAACTAATCTTCCTTCAGTTCCATCCAGTGATCTACACAATACAGAAAACTGACCATGTCCCTCTGCTCCTCTAAAACCTCTCACTGACTCTTCACCGCCTCTAAGGTAAAGTCAAATTTTTAGTATGGCATGCAACAGTTTCAAGATCTGGGCCCAGCGCACCTCTCTCATTTCATCTTGGAACTCTTTACCTGTAACAACCGAGTCCAGCAACACTGCTTGTGGCTTTTCATAGCAAGAACCTTTTCCTTGCCAACTATCAAGTCTTTTCTTATGTTATTTTTTCCACCTAGAATACCCTCTCCCCATCCATCTGACCCCATTCCCCAATCTGTTACTATTGCCTGCATGAAAAATCTCACACCACCTTCAGACCAAATTGGATGACCTTATTCATACCACTAACACTGCTTTTACACTGTATATTGACCTTAATCTAAAGTTCCTTTTATACGAGACTATTAACTCCACAAGAACAGGGAATGTCTAAATCTGATTATGTAATATAAGAAATAACAATACCAACCTCATCAACAAGATTTAGAATTTAAATATTTAACACAATGCTTAGCACTTAGTCTCTAAATGTTACCTATAGTTACTATCCACACTGTTATATGGATACCTTGTACATGACCCACAGTAGAACCTCAAACGTTTATTAGAAGAGTAACCTGTGCAAAATGGAAATGTTCCCATTTTACAACTGAGGAAACTAAGTGAGAAAAATAACAGTCAAAGTCGAAAAGATAGAAAAGGCGGTTAAGTCACCATCCAAACTCAGGTGTAATTCTGAAGCCCTGAACTTATTCTCTACTACTATGAACTATCTATATCCCTTTCTCCTGAGAACTGACTCAACCTTTCTATTTTACTCCAAGGACAAAAAGGCTTCTTTCTTTCCAGTAAATGCCGTTATACTCGTCATGTCTGTAATCTGCATTTTTAAGTCAACTTGAGTGTTTCAACCTGAGATTCAATTTCCTTGCCTTAATATGAGATGTACTTGGATCTCAAAAAAACCATTCAAACTCTAAAATCCTGCTGTGCAGTACTTGTGGTGCTGTTCTCTTACGTAGTTCGTTCGTTACGATTATTTACCGAACTTTTCTGATATTCAAGGCACAAATGCAGTAAATGAAACATTGCGGTCACCCTTTCCTTGGCCTAAGGAAACGCTCCTAAAATAATCAAGCCAGAGCCTACAATTCCAGAGTTCTCTCCAGAATGCTGCAATCTGTCAACAACAAGGTCAAGGGGGTTGACATGCAAGCTGCCTCCTTCGGGAGCAGGGCCAAAGGAAACAGATCTGGCCGATCCAGGCACTGGAGTGAAACTGGATAAAACAGAAGAACAGCAAGATGCCCCTTCTTCCTCATCTCCGTGACAAAGTTAGGCGTAATCTCCCCAGCCCTATACAGGAGGCCACGCACCCTCCGCAGTTAAATTTACCGACCCTCCCTCAGAGGTCCTAGCTTGCGGTGGAGCTGCAGCAACCTCTCTCGGGAGAGGGCAAAGGCCGCAATGTCCTTGCCGCTGTCTGGAGGCCTGTCCAAAGCCCGGGGCTTTCGTGCGCTCACAATAAAAGGAGACAAGGAGAGAGGGAGAAGGGCGGAGGCAGCGCCGGGGCTCCTTCTGAGCCTCCTTACCCACTGGGCGGTGAGGCCAGCCGCCCGGGCCCGGAGTGCGGCAGAGAAGAACATGGTGGGAAAAACTGTTGGTATTTCCCGGCGGCGCCAGTCAAGGATCCCCAGAGCGCCTAGGACGCACGACGTGCGCGGCCCTGAGCCAGGCCGGACGCGTCAGAAGCCGCAGCCTACGCAGAGGCAGCGGGGGCGCGCGAGGGTTCGCGAAGGACGCTGGGGCCCAGGGGGTGGGCATTTCCCGGGGAGAGGGGAGGGGCGAGGCCCAACTGGGGCCCAAAAAGGTCTTGTGTTGCCGGCTTCAATGGTGTCTCATCCTTGAAAGGAAGCGGTCTTGAGCGGCATCCTGGGCTCTTGGGGATTGAAACACGGACCTGGATTTATGGGGTGAGATTCCCTTGTGGAGAGCCTTATAAGGATTTAATCACTTCCTTTTTTATTGTGGTTACTTTAAGAAATATTCCGTTTCAACCCCCTATAAATTATATTTTACGGATTGCAGAATTGAAGATACGGAAGGTTTCCACCGACCTCCAATTGCCTTGGTTCCCATTCTTTTGCTTTAAGGATGTGTACCGACTTATTTAGGGGTGAAATAATATATCTAGAGTCTGCTTCAGAGTAATGGAGAGTGGGCGTTATAAATGAAACGGTATTGGCTAAGAGTGGTTGACTGTTGGAGGCCGTGCAGTAGTTCTCCTTACTGTTCTCAGTACCTTCGTACATGTTAGAAATTTTCCACAATTAAAAAAAAAAAACCTCTTCCTTCTTGATGTTTGTTTGGTCATCTCTGGAAATTTCAACAAGTATTTATTCAGTAACTTATATAATATGGACAGCAATGTTTCCTGCTTTGTGTGGAGGGTTTGCCAGGCTGTTCTTACACAACTAAAACCAAAACATATCACCAATTAAACACATACAAACTTACAACTTAGTGATTCTAACTGATATGGCATGAATTCTTTTAATCTGGTATGCGTGTTGTCTTTATATTCTATTAGGGCCTTCTCTAATCTCCTAGTCTAGAGTAGTCTTCATGATAGCTTCCCTAAATGTGCCTGCCCCACTTTCATTACCACATTTACCTCATGATTATAACCTCCAGAGGTGTGGAAACCTGCTCTCCCCAACCTGTGCAGTTCAACAATTGACAATGTACCTGGCATATGGAAGGCACTGAATATTTATTGACTGAATGAAAAGCTTGTACATGGTGCAAGTATTTAGCATCTCTAAAAGGGTCGTGTGTTTCAGGTTGCATTTATGCTTATATGTATGTGTATCAATGAGTGTGCTTTTTGCTACAAGTAACAGGAGACCTAACTAAAGTAGATTAAACATTATTGGATTCATTATCTCACGTGAAAAGAATTCCAGAGGTAGAGCAGTTCCAAGATTAGGTAATTCAGTTGCTCAAGAATGTCCTCAAAACCTGAGTGTCTTCCATCTTTCTACTCCACCATACTCAGCTGTGACTCACAAGATAAAGCAGTTCCAAGTATTATATGCAGATGATGACTTTTCAGGAAGAAAAGAAATTATTACCTCTCCAGTGTCCTAGATGTTCCTTCAGCAGACTTCTTTGCCTCATTGGCATCTATCAAGATAGTTAGGAGAACAAGCTCTTGAATCAAACTGCTGGTTCAGATTCTAGCTCTACTGCTTTCTACCTATGTGACTTTAGGCAAGTTAGTCTTTCTGGGCTTCACTTTACTAATAGTACATACCCTCTTCATAGGTTTATTATGGGAGTGAAATGAGTTAATACCTATAAAGTCCTTTTAAAAGTACCTAGCAAAGTCAGTGGTCAGTAAATATTAGGTTGGGGTCTTCCACAGTAGACTAACATCTTTGGAATTCACAGTCCATAGACAAAGTACATGCCTCATTAGTGCCCAAGGAGAAGTAAGAACTTAGCAGGTGTCCCCAATTTCTGTTATGTAGAAGCAGAAACAGTGCAAAGAGTAATGTTTAAATAGCCTGTTAACACTTTCTCGAATATGATACAGGAAGTATTGAACTAAAAAGTTCATTTAGTTTTTTTCCATATGATGGCTCTAGCAATGCTTGGTTGTCTTTAACTTAGTTCGAAACAACTTTGTTACAGTGTGTTGTGACAGCTGTCATATCAGCATGCATTTTTCTAAAAATTTATCAAAATTGGTGAATTTTTGTGCAGCCATTTTAATATTGAAGATGGAAGGAAAAAATTCAACAATTTTTGCATATTATGCTTTATTATTTCAAAAAAGGTAAAAACGCAACTGAAAAGCAAAAAAAAAACAAACCAAGATTGTACAATGTGTGGAGAAGGTGCTGTGACTGATCGAATGTGTCAAAAGTGGTTTGCAAAGTTTCTTGGTACTATTGGCATTTTGGCCAAATACCATATTTTTTGGACTATAAGACACACTTCCCCCCACCAAATTTGGGAGGAAAATTGGAGTGAGAAAAATGGGGGTGCATCTTATAGTCTGAATGTAGTTTACCTGGCTCGCTGTGGGGGCAGGTGGGGGCCTATGTTATTTATGTTATTAAATATTTTACCACATTTTTTACTTCGAAATTTTTTTTCCTCTTTTCCTCCTCTAAAACCTAGGTGCATCTTATGGTCCAGTGCTTCTTACTGTATGAAAAATTGGGTAATTCTTTGCTGTGGGGCTGTCTTATGCATTGAAAGATGTTTAGCAGCACCTTGGTCTCTACCCACTAGAAGCCAATAGCAGGAAATAGCCAACATACTCAAAATATCCAAATCAATAAAGTTATTGGTGAAAATGAAAAATGTGTCTTTTTACTTTATGGAAAAAAACTAAACAGACTTTTTGGCCAACCCAATAAAATGCTTTCAATTCAATGGTTATTCAACTACCAATACATGTGGCACCACTCTATTTACAGGTCCAAAAGATTTGTTAATGTCTAGCATGACTTTTGCCTATCCTTGACCCAATAATTATTTCAAATGAAAATGTCAGAATTAATATCTCTCACACCCAGTAATGTGAGTTCATTTCTAGAATTACTCTACTTATGAATAACATAATGCACAATCAACTATTCTTCCCAGAGTCCTTAGGATAGAAATGTGGGTACTGTTTAGAAAATTCCTGTTCTTCTTCCCACTCTCAAATCCATTGTTTCTGGGCATAGACCAACATGAATATCAGTTACTCCATTCACTCTATAGGCTTGATTGAAATTGACTTGATTCTATACGTGTAATGAACATTATGGCTGCCTAATAGGTATATTTCAGTGTTCTAAATGAGTGCTGCTAATATAAGCCCAGAGAAGTTGGCCCTAATTATAATGGTCATCTCTTTAAAATTTTTGTGTGTGTTGTTGTGGGGGGCAAGGACTGGGAGTTACAGGAACTAGACTAATGACCTAATGTGGGAATTTTGGCTCTACCGTGCCTCATTTCTTTTCCATTTAAGCCATCACAAATAGGCACTATTGAGGACATGCTATAATGAAAACCATGAACTTTATAGTAAGAGGGAGTTGGATTTGAATACTTTTTAAAAAATTTTATCCTAATTGTTGTTCAAGTACAGTTTTCTGTCCTTTACTCCCATCTCTCCCCACCTCCCTCTGAATACTTTTTTTAACTTGATTTTTTCACTCAATCTTTTATTTTTTTAATCTATTTTATTAATCGTGCTATTACAGTTGAACCATTCCTCCCCCTTATTCCCCTCCACCCTGCAACCCCCTCCCACCCACGTTCCCCCCCACACACACATACCCTTCCTTAAGTTCATATCCGTGGGTCCTACATTTAAGTTCTTTGGCTTCTGCATTTCCTATACTATTATTAACCTCTCCATGTCTATTTTGTACCTACTATTTATGCTTCCATAAACCTTTTCCCCCATTCTCCCCCCACTGATAACCATCCAGGAGATTTCCATTTCTGTGATTCTGTTCCTGTTCTAGTTGTTTACTTAGTTTGTTTTTATTTTTGTTTTTTTTAGGTTCAGTTGTTGATAGTCGTGAGTTTGTCATTTTACTGTTAGTCGTTTTTGATCTTTTTCTTAGCTAAGTCCCTTTAACATTTCATAGAATAAGGGCTTGGTGATGATGAACTCCTTTCACTTGACCTTATCTGGAAAGCACTTTATCTGACTGTCCATTCTAAATGATAGTTTTGCTGGATAGAATAATCCTGGGTGTAGGTCATTGCCTTTCATGACTTGGAATACTTCTTTACAGTCCCTCTTTCCTGTAAGGTTTCTTTTGAGAAACCAGCTGACAGTCTGATGGGTACTCCTTTGTAGATAACTTTCTCCTTTTCTCTTGCTGCTTTTAAGATTCTCTCCTTCACTTTAATCTTGGCTAATGTAATTCTGATGTGCCTTGGTGTGTGTGTGTTTTGGGTCCAACTTCTTTGGGACTCTCTGAGCTTCCTGGACTTCCTGGAAGTCTATTTCCTTCTCCAGATTGGGGAAGTTCTCCTTCATTATTTGTTCAAATAAGTTTTCAATTTCTTGCTCTTCCTTTTCTCTTTCTGCCACCCCTATGATTCAGATGTTGGAATGTTCAAAGTTGTCCCAGAGGTTCTTAAGCTTCTCCTAATTTTTTTTGAATTCTTGTTTCTTCATTCTTTTCTGGTTGAATGTTTATTTCTTTCTTCTGGTCCAAACTGTTGTTTGAGTCCCAGTTTCCTTCCCTTCCCTGTTGGTTCCCTGTACATTTTCCTTTATCTCACTTTTCATAGCCTTCACTTTTTCCTCTATTTTGTGACCATACTTAACTACTTCTGTGAGCATCCTAATTACCAGTGTTTTGAACTCTGTATCTGATAAGTTGGCTATCTCATCATTGCTTAGTTGTATTGGTTCTGAAGCTTTAATTTGTTCTTTCATTTGGGCCATATTTTTTTTTTGTCTCAGTGTACTTGTTACATAGTAAGGGGCAGAGCCTTAGGTATATGCCATGGTAGGGCAACCCACATCACTGTGTAGGCGTGCTGTATGTGGGGGAGGGGTCCAAGAGGGAACAGTGGCACTTGCTGGGCTCTCAGCTGGCCTTGAGTCACTTCCTTTTCTACCCACAAGCATATTGGGCCCTTATGGTGTTGATTCCCAAGGGGAGAGGGGTAGTTTTGTGTACCTTCTAGGACCCTGTGGATCTCTCCAGTGAAGACTCCT